TTTCCATAAACATCAGTTGAAATTCTCAATTTCAATGTATTTGAAGATCATATTAGGAGATTTTTAAAATATATAAATGTTTAGATGACTCACAACTCTACTTTTTAAAAAACTGCCAATACCAACGTTAAAAAACTTAACAACTTTTAATTATTTTAAACATAACAGTGCTAACAAAAATAGAACATCATACTAAAGAACAAAACAGAAAAAACATCAGTGGTGTAACTAGATCCATGATTATCGCTTTTTAATTTATTGTCGTTTTCAAATAAATAATCTAGTTCATCACTTTTAACATGTACTGCTGTGCCTTGTTTAGGCTGTTTAAGTTAACAGAAAGAATTAAGACAAAGATTTTAAATTAAAAATACCATTAGGATATTTCAAAAATATATATACAATGACTACTTTCTACAGTTAAATAGTATTTCAGTTACTTATTTTCTAGACTCTCCTCAAATATTCAGGTTATTAAAAAATATTATTAATCGGTATTATTTTTTAATTTTGCTTTATTTTAATTATATTTGAATGTTTTACTGACTATAATCTTCTTAACAATTTTTAAGCACTTGAAATATTTTCTTATTATTTTATGCATAACTTAACAGTCAATGAATGAAATGGCCAATTCCTTAAAATGTCCGTTTATTCTATAGAATGTTAGGCACTTTTAAAGAAAGTATGCATGGGAATTATTATGTATTTTTCCTTGACATTGTATAGAATGACTAGAAATTTTTAATTAATTATTCTATAGAGTACCAAAGCAATGCGTGAAATTTCGATTCATTCTATTAAAGTTTGACGTAAGTCATTCTAAAAAATACTTATGCAATGTATAAAATTATACTTCGCCGGAAGATTCTAGGCAATCTATACAATGATTAGTCTTTCTATAGAATTCCGGATTTCATATGTTGATGCTAACGCACATTAGAAGATAAGTGAATCTTTAAACTCACATAAAATTGATATAAAAATGCAGTAAAAAAATACAGCATGAACCATAAGCCACGTTTTAATTGTTAATGCATCTTTGAAAGAGGGATTAAGGGAATACATGAGAACTACAAATGTCACCTTAATCAAGATTAATGAGAATTTCTCCAATTCACAAGAGGAGAATTTTCTTTTATACTTAACACGGTTTCACTGACTGAGCCTGACATATTATAAACAGATTTCACTATAAAGATTCATTTATTTATTTTCTTTAGTTCATTTATATTATTATATCCTTAATAATTTAATAGTTCTATTCAATTATTTATAAGTTTATATATATATATATATATATACCGTAAACCGGGGTGAGTCTACCCATTTTAGTTTTATTTAATTTTCACTATTTTAAATTGCAAATAAAAAAAATTTTACCGACGGAGGACTTAGTTCAGACTCTAAGAAAGATGGCGCTGTAGTAGTTGGATCCGTTTTTATTTATTTGGTGTCTTTTTAACCGACCTGTTCAAACGTCTTTTAAGAGATTTGTATTGAAAATCAGCAAACTTTTAGTTGGTGCTCCGTAAGTATAATATTATTATTACTATTTTCACTTTGGTTAAGTGATAAACTTATCTAAGACTAAGATTACATTAATTTTATATGAAAAAAAACAAAAAGAATGTAAGTTTTGCTGTTGTAAACAAAAAGCCAGAATTCGCGGGGCGAGTCTACCCATTCGTATTTAGTTTTAATAAAGCATAATAATATAATTTAGAACTTTGTTTATATTAAAATTAAGTCATTTTAAATGAATTTGAGTATATTATTTTAATTCTGCATTGATAAATTTATCATTAATAAGAAAATTTATAGGTTAAATATAAATGTAAATATAAAATATGTTTATTTTACCTATTTTTTCAATTTTTATATTACAAAATTAACTTTTTTTATTTAATGCAAGTTAAATAAATTATTATTTATAAATTATTATTACCTCCCAAAAGAATGGGAAAAGGATTTTTCATGATTCCCAATGTTTGAATTTCGATTTTGTTAATAATCTTTAATTATTATTATTTATTAATTATTTAATTGTAAATTTATATTCATTTTAATTTATTTTTATCAACAATAATCAGAAAAATTTTTATTTTATAATGTTAATGATTATAAAAACAAAACTATGATCAAAATGTGATAATCGATCAAATACTCAATTTGTGTTATTTTATGAATAAAAAAATGGAATATATAATAAAGTTATGAATTTAACAATTTAAATAACAATTAACAATTAAAACAAATTAAAATAACAATTTAATAGTAAAATTTGATTATTTGCAATGTTAACATTCATTTTAGTAGAATGGGTAGACTCGCCCCATACGAGAGATTTGTCAGCAGTTCTATAAAAATATACAGTAACAGCGTAACTGTTAATATTTTCTAAAATCGATTTCACAGCTTTAAAGAGGGATAAATAGCGATTCCGAAACACCTATTAAAAGCCTTTTTTCTTTAATATTTACGAAAGTTTGACCACTTGAAAGTTGACAAACTGAAAAAATGGGTAGACTCGTCCCGGTTTACGGTATATAATTTATTTACTTATTTGCTTGATAATTATTAACTTAATAATTAAGTTTTCTGGCCAATTAATTATTCAAATATCCATTTTATATAAGAGTAAAATTGAAAAATTTGAGAACAATGCTTACGAATTTTTCTTCAAAACATTCAATTATTACCATTAGCATTTCATTAAGTAATTAAAAATAAATCAAAAACATTCCTGAAAGAAATGAGCAATTAGAAAAGTTATAGAAGCAACAATAAAATATGATTTACTTTCTTCTATTTTCAAATAAATAACAATAAATCCTTAAAAATATTTAAATAATTATCAATCATTTTGATAACTTTAAACCTACATTTGAACTGCCATATTAATTTTTTTTACTAATTGTTGCGCAAATTTACATAATAGTTCAATCGTAAATAAGTTATCATAATATTAAGGTCATTATACTTAAATTTGCTTAATATTTAAATGATTTTAATTACTTTTATGATAATTAAAATTATTAAAGTATTTTATATTCAATGTTTATAATATTAATAAAAATAATAATATTTTTATTGATATTATAAGTTATTTTTACAAATATTATCAATATTTCTAATAACGATATGTATGAAATTATTAAAAAGTCAATGCAACTAAAATTTAATCAAAATGACTTTGTAAATGAAAATGCATTAGAATAAGTGAATAGAAGCATAAAATCAATAATACTGAACAAATTAATCCGTATTTGTCTCAGTTTTATTTTTAAATCATACTGAAAGTAAATGATTTTCGGAAATATAATTTACTAAATTACATTATCTTAAAAATCGCTACAAATTTAAATAAAAATTTATTTAAAATACTGACAATCGCATACTGTATATTAATAAAATAAGTTTGTACTTTTATTTACACAAAAGGAAATTTTTAAAAAATCAAGAATTGTATTGAATGAAAATATTTTAAATAAATTTCAAACCTACATTACTTACTATACCTACAATAATGTCAACATAATGTTGTGTATTAATAAAGGAGCTATGTAGTTTTATTTACACAGTAAAGAAATTTTTGAGAAATATAGAGTTGTATTGAATGAAATATTTAAAATAGTTTTTAAACCTTAAGTGATCATTTTACCTACAATAATGGTATAATATAGTAATAACATTACTGCAATAAGCAATGTTATTAAGCATTGCTATTATTACATAAGTAGTTTACTATATAATTTTATATACACAATGCAGAATTGTTTAATATTCATTAATTAAAAAAAACATTTATTTATTAAAAGATTTATTTATTTACTTATTAAAAAATTAAGTATTGATTTGAAGTAAAACATTTTAAATATTTTTTTACCTATTATACCTATAACAGTGACAGTCACAATGAGGTAATATAAAGAATCTGTTTAGTTTTATTTATACAGTAAGGGAGATTTTTTTTTAAAAATAATAATAATATTGAAAAAAATATTTTTAATATTTTTTAAACTTTAAATTATCCTTATACCTACAATAATGGTATAACATAGTAATAACATTTCTGCACTAAGCAGTGTTAAAATAAAAAGCATTGCTACAATTGTTTAAAATTATTGCATGATAATAAAGGATAGATGTAATTTTATGTACACAATGCAGAATTTTTTACTATTTATTTATTAAAAAATTTATTTACTAAAAAATTTACTTATTTATTAAAAAATTTATTTATTTATTTATTAAAAAATCAAGTATTGTTTTGAAATAAAATATTTTATATACTTTTTAACCTATACTACCTATTACACCACCTATTATATATACTATAGGAACAGCCACAATGATGTAATGTTAATAGAGAATCTATTTCATTTTATTTAAACAATAGGGAAGATTTTTAAAAATTCAATAATTTTATTGAATTAATATATTTTAAATATTTTTTTTTAATTTACAATAGAAGTTATATTTAAAAATATTGATAAACAAAATGTTGAATATTATTAAATAATCAATGAAGTTTTATTTACATACCAGAGAAATTTTAAAATAAATGAAGGATTATATTTTTAAAAAAATATTTTAAATATTTTCTAAACCTAGAATACCTACATTAATATTTTTTATTCATTCACAAACAAAAATAAATAAACATTTGAAATGTTCACTTATTGTAAACTTTGACCTTAAATTCAAAATGTATCTGAAATTATGATTTTCAGTTGTAATATTCGAGCTTATAAAATCTTATTATCTCGAATTCCGATTTGAAGATTACTGGATAACAGCTACAGAGTCATTTTTTATGCAAACGAATGGTACAGATGAAAGCCCTGGAAAATCCGGGCCGACAACGAGGAAAACGAACCCTTATCGTACTACGATCAACATTTTATACCTTGCCACTGCCCAATTCTGATTCGCTGATGCGAAATTCTTGGGAATCGGACACCCAAATGAAAGCGAAAATGACACAAATCTCTTACCTCTAATCAGGATTAGGAGAACAGGAAGAAATGATACCCAAGAGCAAGAAAATATCCAGCTTTCCATCTCCTTTGATCTACTGTTTCTCTGTTTCCCCCCAATGTTACAAGCTCGCGTGGGCTGGGGAGAGAAAAAAACAAAATGCCCATTTGGCGCCGTAGTGATGGTTTCCCCGCCAAGCGTGAATGCCAAACTCTATTGGTTTGGCTATTTTTGAGATTAATGAGAGAATCGATTTGAAGTACCGGAAAAACACGGAAGCACAAAAATAGCATAATGGTATTGTAACTGTTTTATTTAACTTTTTGTGTTCCAAGATTTGCTTTAATTAACCTTGTGAATAGTATTTTTCAGACAAATGTTCGGCGATAAACATGCTTGTTGTCAGAAGGCAAGGATTTAGAAAATTAAAATATTGATTTTAGATTATTTTGTTTCTACATAGGGGGTGGGGGCTCTTTATTATGTTCTAGACTGTAGAAATCAATAGGAAAAGTTTTAAGCTTTCAATTAAATTAGAATGTGCCAATTAACTAATTTTTTACTAATTGCTCTGACAATATTCAAATTGAATTATTGCAATATTCAAATTGAATTACTACAAATTTACGTAAGAACTTAATTTTTTCTCACATTATATACAAACAAACTAATTGTACAAACAAACTACAAGCTAATTGCAGAAACAACAGTACAAACTAATTGCTTCACTAACCTGCCAAATTCTGCTGAATTATCAAACAAATTATCAAAATTTAACTTCGATTTTTTTTTCAAATTATCTGTAGAATTTGCTAATTAGTTTATTTTTACTCAATGTTTTAACAATATCCAACTTGAAAATTTCTCATGGGTTGTCTAATACAAATGACTAATAAATTATACAAGAAATTAAATTTTTCGCACAGTACAAACTAATTATTTCACACGAATAATACAATCATAACCTGCCAAATTCTTAAACAATTTAAGGGAATTCAATTTTTCTTAATTAATTAACTATGGAATTTGCCGATTAATTTATTTCGTACTCATTCATTTGACAATAGTCGACTTAGATATTTTTCGTAAGTTGTCTAATACAAATTGCTACAAAATCACGTAAGAACTTAATTTTTTCCCTCAGTACAAACTAATTACTTTACATACATGAGTATGTAAATAATTAGTTTGTACTGCCAAATTTGGCAGGTTACTCATACAGCTTGTACTGTATAAGAAACCTGCCAAATTCTGAAACAATTTAACACAAATCAAGCACAATTCGTCTTATTAAATTATTTGAATTCTAATAAAATTATTTTTTTAGCATAAAATTCTCAACCGAGGGTCCGTAAAATAACAATTAGTAACAATAATCAGCTCGAAGTCTTAATGAAATGGCATGTGTTGAAACTAACAGAAAAGTACCCGAAGTGTCACGTACTGATTTAAATTCTGAAAACAGTTTGCCGATTTCTAAGTAATTATTAAGATATTAGTTACTAAAAACTATGATTTTTATTTTTTTTTTAGCTCATTCCTCATGAAGAGTACAAGATGTTACTTTAAGACTTTTTATACTTGAGTTTTGTTGTTGTTGTCGGACATTATGGCAAGGGGTGTATTTGTTCTCATTTTCCAGTGGCGCCATCTATGGTTAAGAATTTGACTTTTGCCACATCCGTTAATAGGACACGCTCATACATCCATTCATTCATTCATCCACAGATCGAAATTTTGACTTGAACCAGAAAACGATCTATCTCCTATTCAATAACCCCCAGAGGTATAATTTAATATGGGAGCATGGAGGACAAAGCAAATTTAACGTGGATCCATTTACTACATGGGGAGTCTTCACCCGACTGGATTAAAACTCCCGTTCTCATGAACGTGAGTTCAGCTCCCTGCCAACCAGGCTATCCCCGCATTTCATTTGCCATTATCCATTTGCGTTTTAAAAGACTAAATTTAGGAGATTAAATTATGAAATTAGAATAATAGTTCTAAAATTATGAGTTATAAAGTCGAAAGTTCATGCACAATTCCGCTTTCAAATTTTTTTTTTTTTTTTTTTTTTTTTTTTTTTTTTTTTTTTTTTTTTTTGTAACTGGGAAGCTCCGCTCTCTGCTAGCACTGTATGTCAACTCCGTAATTCATCATTGTTTTTTTGTTTTTTTTTCCTAAAACATCAATATTTTTCACAAAAACACAGAATATTTTGTTTTAAAACTATGCAATTATTGTAGCTTTATGTAAGAAAATTTTGAAAATTTGAGACGAAATAGACGATTATCAATGGATTTGAAAAATAATCATATGAACTTGCAAAAAAGCAAAAAATTTATTTGTTTATAGTTTATTTAACGTGTGTAACTAAATCAGAAGAAAAAATTTTGAAAACTCTCTTTCTCTCACTCTTTTCCTTTTGCAACTTTTGATTGACATATCTACTCGAGCGCGAGCTTATAAAATAAAGAAATAAACATCTCGTGAGGGAATAATAAAATTTTAACAACATAGGTAAATAATCAAGGTTTAAAACAAAAGAGCTGAAAAAATCACGAAAAAGTACTTAAATTTGAAATAACTTTCAAACAAATTGGAATTTCGAAGCAATTTTTGCGTTAAGTTTGCAAATAAAAATGGCTCTTTCAGCACGGCAATGTTTGAACTCCGTAGTTGAACGAACTATAGATCGAACTAACATGGTATTTATTATCGATCTATTCCATACATTTTTCGTTTCACTTAGTACTTATTAGCAAAATAAATTAAGCATCATTGATGTCAAAAATAATTTGATGTTCCTCTTAATCGAATTAGTACCATTTCTCCATTACTTTATTTTTGTTTTTTAGTCACGGTTTATTTTTTAGTTCAAATTGTAATTGACCAAAATTAATTAATCCACGACAGAGACAATAATATGGTGATTTTTTACTGTTCCCCTAAAAGAATGAGTATCTTTTCTCCATTAATTTTGCTCTCTAGAGCATAGCTATTTTTTTTAATTAAAATTTTTGTCTGAAAACCAATATAAACAATCATAGGTGCCAATAAGAGTATGGCGATTTTCATATTTTTCTTCTACGAATTATTATTATTTCTCCATTAATTTCATTTTTTATTTCAATTACTGTTGATACTTGGATCTTATAATTTATGTGTTATAGATTTATTATTTTCACTTTTTATCACATTGAACACACATATTTTTACACATGCCCCTATATATAGTGAAAATATCCCTAATATATATGAAAATTAAGTTGTCTCATATTATAGTCACAGTTTTATAGATAATTTAACTGGTTAGAAAACTCACATGGCCCAGTTTTTTTCGTTAAATCTAGTAGAATAGGTAAGAAAAGGAATTAGAAAACAGAAAGGAACAAAGGAAACACAATATTATAGATTATGAGATATTCAAATTAATTTGTTATTAATATAAGTAAAAGTCAGTACCCTTTTTTAACCTTTGAAGTATAGTGATTTTTCTTTTTAAATTGTTCTTTAAAAAAGATTGAAAATCCTTCCAATTGTAATAAAATTCTTTTATTTCTAATAAGGACAATAGAATGAGAAAAGGGGAAATTAAAGTATACAAAAAACAAAAGAAACAAAATATTATAGGTTATATGATATATAGTATAAGCAAATTGCTTCGCTATTGATACAAATAAAAGTCAATAATTTATTTTTTACCTTTGAAGTTTAGCGATTTTTTAAAAATTGCTTTTATTAAAAAATAGAAAATGTCTTCCAATTGTAACAGAATTATTTTATTTCCAATAAGGGCAATAGAAAGGGGAGAAAAAAATTAAAGTATGCAGGAAGAACAAAGGAAACTTAATATTTTAGGTTATGGATGTAAAGTATATGTAAATAGGTTTGTAATTGATATAAGTAAAAGTCAATATCTTATTTTACCTTAGAAATGTAGCTTTTTTTAAAAATTATTCTTTGAAAGATTAAAAAAAATCCTCCCAATTCTAAAAGAATTATTTTTTTTCCCGATAAATGGAATAGAATAGCAAAAATGGGAAAAGAAATATACAAATGAAAAAAGGAAACATGATGTTATAGTTTATATTTTATACGACATATACTGTATGTAAATAGATTCCTTATTGATACAAGTAAAAGTTTTTTTACTTTTGAGAGTAGTGATTTCTTCAAAATTATTTTTCCAAAAAATTCATTCCATTGTATAGAATTCTGTAATTTACGATAAATAAAATAGAAGGAAATAAAGGAAGTTAGAATGTAAGCAGTCACAAAGGAATTTTTTTAAAACGAAATAGAATTAGTAAAAAAAAGTATAATGAATAGTATAATAAGAAACAAAAAATATGAATTCAAAATTTAAAATAAAGATCTTTTCAATTTTGATTCAAGCTAAACATCAAACATTTTTTTCGTACCAAAATACTTCCAATCAAGAAAACACTCTCAGAACCATTTACCGTTGTATCCGATACGAAAACAAATTTTCAGAAAACAAAATTAATAGTGTTGACAATTTACTATGGTTTTTCATTAATTAAATTATCCGTTCACTTCGGCGCATAAAAACCAAATAAACTTTTTTAGTGAAACCAGTTACGAACTTAAATTTAAACAAATGGGAAAATATTACAATACTTTTTTTACTAACCATTTCTTACGAATCATTAATATTCAAATCAATAATGATGCGTATCGATTTTCGGTTAAAGAATTTAATTACATTTACGGTCGTCTCCTTGTATTAAAGTGTGCGTGATTGGCTTACGATTATTCGTGAGGATGTTTTCTTTGTTTTTTAACTACGAAAACATTTTTGCGATAATCTCAGGAGAAACGCTACTAAAATCAAATTAAAAACGTATTTTCTACAAAAGTTTTTAGAAGATTTGTTATATTGACAAGAAAATCAATGAGCATACAAACAAGACATACTAAATTTTATTTCTCTTTAAGACATCTTAGATAATATCTCGGACATAATATTTTATGCATCATTAAATTAAAATTTTGATTGAATTTAATAGCATTTTAAACCCATCTTAGTCAAGTTAAAGGAACAGTTCGTCTGTGAGCTAATAATTCTAGACATAAGTCGAAATACATGTTTATGAAAATGGACGCAACTCTAAAGGTGTGATTAAGAAAACGGACAGCGAACTTGATTCCGTTTTT